CCGTTAGGGGGGCCGTTAGGGTGGAGCCGTGCGTGAGCAATCCCCTCAGCCGCTTCCCAGCCCGCTGCGGTGCCGTGAAACGTCCCGAGGTTTGAAGTCGGGCAGCCGGGAGGCTTGACTGGCTTTCATCTCTTGGCGTTTGAAACTGGGACAGCTGTGTGGCTTCACCTGGGGAAGCTGGAGTGCCAGGGAGGCCTTGCCGCTGGCATTGAGTTTTCTGGGGAGCTCTTACTTTTGTCGTGTTCACCCAAGCACCCGTGGTTTTGGCCTGGTTAATCTGTACACAGCAGCGTTTGAACTTGGCAGTGGTTTAGCCTATGCTTTGTTTGCTGGAATTAGGTCATTCCCCAAATTTGAAACAATCGTTCTACGCTGCTTTTATTTTTTTTGAAAGTGGCAGGATTCAGGGTGTTGAACAAATGCACCTGGGTGCAGTACAGAGGGAGAGCTACAAGTAGGAATAAACAGCTGGGGACAGGAGGAAAAGTAGGACTGTTCCTTTAGATGGCAGTGCCTGTTCAGTATCAGTTTCAAGGGCTTGTTGGAACTACTCTGTCTATTTCTTGAAATAGTCTTTAAATGCTATGCTATCAGAGTGCTTTTCAATTTAATGGGCTTTTTTTCCATATGACAGCCAAGCCTATTTCTGATACATGTATCTGTTGTAAATACTCTTCTTCAAGAGGAAGTTTCAAGTCTTTGGCCCTGGCATACAAGAAAGGGCTAACAGTTTTCCTTTGGAGTCAGCTTTCCTCTTGTCTCTCGCTGCAGAAAACTCCCACATCTTAAGCTGTGAATCTCTGTTGAGCTGCAGCCTTTAGTTCTGCCATGCATCAAATTTTCACTGCCGTTAACAGTCAGATAGGGAAGCTGTACTGAGGAGGAGGAGTGAAACAGAGGGTGCTGAGAGAGACAGGGGAACGTTCACCCTCACAGAAAGGTGTCTGTCGCCCCTGGAATATCGATTCATCGCATTTTATCTAAGTTGGTGGTTTGCTGAATAGATAGGATAGCCAATATTATTCTGGTGCTCTTTTGATTTTGTATGTATTTGGTGAGCAGTCGTGCCTCTTGCATTGAAGTATGGTGTGCTACCTTGTGTTGCGTAGCCTAGTATGGAGTGTGAGACAAAAATTAAAAAACTGACTTTCATTAATCTTCTAGATGTTGGGGAAATCTATTCAAGACTACTGGATCACAGACCAGTAATTCAGGGAGAAATACGCTACTTTGTTAAAGAATTTGAAGTAAGTATTTTTATCTTATTGGGTGCTGTAAACTTCACAGTCTGAGACTTTAAGCAATCTTAGCATCGTTTTAGAGATTATAATATGTATGTAATTTCCTTTAGAAAGACTTGATGTGCGTTTCTTGCCCAAAATGACTAACGCACTTATAGTATATGTCTGCATCTTTAGTAAACGAGGCAGTAATTTACGTCTTTTTATTTAAAAAAGTTTTGAAAAGGGCATAAATATTTTTCCTGTGAAAGACTGGCAGGAATATTGATGTAGGAGAATAATGTAGTCCTAACATCTTAGAGAAGTCTAGTTGGTTCAAGGGAACTGTTGTTGGCCAGTACAGGATTACATCTGATTAAGAAACCAGTTTGTGCTTCAGCTGGATTCAGCTGGCACAGTTGTAATTGTTCTGGGAAAGAAAGTAATATTACTGGAAGAGCAACATTTTATGCAAAGTAAGAAAATCATTAAAAACTGAATGACTGTTGTCTGATTGGCTGCAAATAAGGCTAAAGTACTGAAGGTGTAAAAGTGTGTATGTACAACTTTGCTTGGAAAGTGTAATACGGTTTCCACCAGATGGCAGCAAAAATTTAGAAAAGTTGAATCATGTGCCAACAAAAGGCTATTTCTAAGAGTAGATTTTCATTCTTAAAGAACGTGGGATTTAAAATCTTAAAATTACTCCTGAAAATATAGTTATACCTCAAAATTCTAGTGTGCAGAGCTGTTTTTTTTTAAAAAAAAAAAAAACATTGAAGTGTCTTTCCCCATCCAGATTGTAGGTAATATTCAACCAGGTCTAATTTGTCCCCATGCTGGTCTAGCAATATAAGTACGTGAACTAAACTCTTGCTAGATCTGTAGTGTATGGGCTTGAGAGTCATAAGGAATGTTTTCTTTCTTTGCCTTCCCTAAATAGGATAGGATACAGTAAATAATTTTAAGTGGCTTTTCATAGGAAGGAAAATTTTCAACTCAATTATAAAATTATAACTAAATTCATATATTTCATTGCACTCAAAGTCTCATTCTGTTTCTCAGACAAATTTCCTATATTCTTAGGTCTTTGCTTGAAAATTAATTTCTGATTTATACTTTTAGCAGGGAAATAGCAAAGCAGAGGATTGTTTACATTTTTGCAACTTAGAATTTCTTCCAAAAATTACACTTGTTTCTAACTTTGAGATATCAGATATTTTTTTGGTAGTAGTAGGACATACGCTTTTTCTTTCAAGGATTAGCATCAAGCATGTAAAGAAAGTAGCTTTGCATTCAGGAAGTCTGGAGCCTGTTTAGTTAAGTGACTTGACTTGGTTTTGCCTCAGTTTCTGAAGGTTTAAAGTGTGATGATCCAATGGCCCACTTCATGTGATGCAGTATTTTTTTATTGTTTAGAATTGCTTTATGATTAACAGCTTTCAGTACAGGAATGCTTGTGTGCAACTCATTACCCTGAAGAGGGGGGAAAAAGGAGGAAGGTGGCAGGCTGGAGCAGATTCTAGAATACTTTTCACTGTCTAAAGGAAATTGCAGGTGAAATTCAGAATGGAAGTGGTGCTGTGGCTTCAGAAAAATAGATTTTTTTCTTTTTTAATGTAAACAATAAAGCAAGAGCTTGTTCTTGTAATTAATAATGATCAGCAGTGAGCCAGAAGAAGGGGTGCCTCTTTAGTCAGCTGTGTTATGTTATCATTTAGTCTTGACTTCATTGCTTTGCTTCAGTAAAAGCAATTTTACTTGCATTGTTCTAACCCCATACCATGCTAAATCTGGAAGGTCAGACATCAAGCAAGCAGAATCAATGCTATGTTATTTCTCTGTAACAACTGAGTTATAAAAATGGAGTGCTTTCAAGCTCTGTTTCTCTCTGTTGTTTTTGATATGCGCTAAATTACCTATACAAAACAACACATTTTTCCGCACAATGTTTTTATTAGTAAATACAAACTTTTCACACAGGACCAGAAGCATCATTCAAAGCATTTCTGTATTTTAGTGTGAAGAATGGAGCTTTACTCTCTCTTTTCACAAAACTTATTTTATCAATTGTGCTAAATAAGTAGAGTAACACTTTAATAAACAGTGCTGTAGTCTTTGAGGTAAAGCTATTAGTTTATCAATTGGGAAACCATCTTATTTTGGAAAGTGGAGTTCCTTGTTAGCCATTCATTTTCTTTCAATTCTTCTGGCAGGAAAAACGTGGCCTCCGAGAACTACGAGTACTTGAAAATCTAAAGAATGCAATCTTTGAAACAAATGAACACGTTCTTCCTAAGTGTGAGCAGGCAATGCATGACAATCTGAATGAAGCATTCAAGAGATGTAAGCAAGTTGCTTCTTATTTTTCTTGTTGTATCGTTTTGAGGAATAATATAAATAGTTTGAGTTCAGAATATGATCTGTGGAAAAATTACCATCCTTAGATAAATTTTCTACTGTTCATGTGCTTTGTTCTCATTTCTATGAAATATTAAAAGGGAAACAGCAGCGACATTTTTTGCTATTTATTGGTCCAGCCAACACAGCTCTTGCTAAGGTTACATTAAAGCTTTTTGTTGACTTAAGTAGAAGCTGTTTCAGCTCAATCTTTTACAACTCACTTAGGATAGTGCTCTGTGTTGGCTAAAGCCATGGACAAAATTCTGGTTTTCTGGTTTGCTGCAAGCATACTGTGGTGTGACCTTCAAGTTTCTTACTTTTCCCACACAAGAGCATAATACTGTCCCCTGTGATTTAAAACAGAACTTGCTGGTGTATAGCTATGAAATGTGCTATTATTATTATTATTATTATTGTTGTTGTTGTTATTATTATTATCTTTAATCACAAGTAGGGTAGTAGTAATAATATTTGTATGCTAATCCTAGTTTCTTAGTTATAACCATCTAATATATTTTTTATTACTCAGCTTTTAAGAGTTTAAGATTTGTTGCACTCATTTTTCAGTATCTTACAGCAGGATAGCTTCTCAAAAAGATATTTCAGGGGAGAGTGGCTATATAGCTTTAGCTGCCAAATGTATGCAGGTGAAACATGCCAGTGTGGATTTTGTTATATTTTCTGTATATCATGTTGTATAAGCATTTAATTTCATATGATGTCTGCATATGTCAGATGCCACATAAATAATAACAAATGGTAGATGGTGTTATACACACAAAACAATTCCAGGATAATATTTGAAACTTAAAATTTAGTCATGGAAATAAGGCGTATGTTCTAACACCTTCTAAATGGAGTGAAACTTTGATACTACTCCCTGACTTTCTAATGGTCAGCTGTGCAATACATCATTAGTAATAGAATCACAGAATGGTTGAGGTGGAAAGGGACCTCTGGAGGTCATTTTGTCCAATGTCCCTTCTCAAGCAGGGGCAGCTAGAGCGAGTCGCCCAGGGCTGTGTCCAGTTGGGTTTTGAATATCTCTACAGATGGAGACTCTACAACCTCTCTGGGCAACCTGTGCCAGTGTTGGACCACCCTCACAGGAAAAAAGCGTTTTCTTGTGTTCAGATGGAATCTCACGTGTTTCACTTTGTGCCTACTGCCTCTTCTCCTGGCAGTGAGCACCATAGAGAAGAGTCTGGCTCCCTCATCTTCATTCCCTTCAATCAGATATTTAATCACGTTGATGAGATCCTTCCTGGGCCGCCTTTTCTCCAGGCTGAACAGTCCCAGCTCTCTCAGCCTTTCCTCATATGAAAGATGCTCCGGTCCCTTAATCGTCGTCGTGGCCATGTGCTGGACTTGCCAGTGCATCTCTTGTTTACTGGGAAGCCCAGAAGTGGACAGACTACCACAGGTGTGGCCTCACCAGTGCTGAGCAGAGGGGAGGGATCACCTCCCTTGACCTGTTGGCAGTGCTTTTCCTAATGCAGCTCAGGATGCTGCCGGCCTTTGTTTTTTGCTGCAAGGTTGTGTTGTTGGTCCTCAGTGTGTATTGCTGCCTGGGGTTATTCCTCCCCAGATGCAGGACTTGTCATTTCCCCATGTTGAACTTCATGAGATTCCTCTCAGCCCAATTCTCCAGTTGCCGAAGGTCTCCCTGAATGGCAGCACAACCATATGATCTGTCAGCCACTCCTTCTGGTTTTTTATCATCTGCAAACTTGCTGAGGGTGCACTCTGCTCCAGCATCTCGGTCACTGATGAAGATGTTAAACAGTATCAGCTGCAGTGCTGACCTCTGGGGTAAACCACTAGTGACTTGCCTCCAACTTGACTTTGTGCTGCTGATCACAGACTCTAGACCTGGCTGTTCAGCCAGTTTTCAATCCACCTCACTGTCCGCTTACCTAACCCATACTTTGTTAGTTTGTCTATGAGGATGTTACGGGAGACGTGTCAAAAGCCTTACTGAAGCTGAGGTAAACAACATTGCCTGCTTTCCCCTCATCTGCCAAGCTAGTCGCTGTGTTGTAGAAGACTGTCGGGTCAGTTAAGGATGAGTTCCCATTCATGAATTCATGCTGACTACTCCCAATCACCACCTTCTCCTTCATGTGTTCGGAAATGCTTCCAGGAGAATTTTTTCCCCTCACCTTTGCCACGATTGAGGTGGGCTGACTGGCCAGTAGTTCTCCAGCTCTTTCTTCTTGAAGATAGGAGTCCAGTCTTCAGGAACCTTTCCCAGTTGCAGTGACTTTTCAAAGAGAGAGAGAGTGGCCTCGCAGTGACATCAGCCAGCTCCCTCAGCCCTCATGGACGCAACCTGTCAGGCACTGTGGACTCAAATATTTCCAGTTTGTTTAAGTGCTCCCTAAGCTGGTCCTCCTACACTAAGGGTAAGTTGTCTGCTCCAGACTTTCCTCTCATCTCAGGGGCCTGGGGTTCCTGAAGGCTGGTCTTAATAGTAAAGAGTAAGGCAAAGAAGGCATTGAGTACCTTGGCCTTTTCCATGTTCTTTGTCACCAGCTCCCTGCCCCATTCAGCAGAGGGCCTGCATTTTGCCTGGTTTTTCTTTTGCTGTTTACATACTTGTAGAATCCTTACTTGTTGCCCTTTGCATCCCTTGCCAGATTCAATTCTGGATCCACCTCGGCTTTCCTAACCCTGTCCCTGCATGATCAGACAGCAACTCTACTCCTCCTGGGTCACCTGCCCCTGCTTCCACCTCCTTATACACTTCCTTTTTAAGTCTGAATTCAGTTAGGAGCTCCTTGCTCATCCATGCAGGCCTCCTGCCACCTTTGCTTGATTTCCTACTTGTTGGGATGGACTTTTCTTGAGCTTGGAGGAGGTGATCCTTGAAAAGGATGCTATGTCCATTCTGTTACCATCATCCGAGACCCTTGGTTTGCCTACCCTATCCTCAGCTTCTTTACTTCTTTTTTGAGGAATCACTCCCTCACCTGTCATTTCTACTTCAAAGCTGTCCCTACCAGGTTGGCCAGCCTGTTAGCAAAGGTACTTTTGCCCTGTTTAGTCAGGTGGATCCCATCTCTTCCAAGCAGCTCTTGATGCTCAGAATGGGTCTCATGGTTGTAGAAACTGAAACCCTGCTGCCAACACCAACTGTGCAAACAGCTGTTAACCCCAAAGATCCATCGATCCATGCATCCTCTCCAGGAAGGTTGAGGAGAACATTACCTGGAACCCCATGCCTTTGCTGTCCCAGGATCCCTGTAGTCACTCCTGATAGCTCTTAGGTCACCCCTGCAGTACCACTGGTGTCTACATGGAAGAGCAGCAGGGGGAATAGTGCAAGCCTCAGTAGCCTCTCTACAACATCCCAAATGTGAGCTCCTGGCAAGAGGCAAACCTCCCCAGATGACAAATCATATCGACAGGTGGGGAGCCTCCGTCCCCTGCCGTAGGGAGTCTGCTACAACTATCAATTGCCACTGTCTTCTAATGGTCCTGAGTGGCTCAGGCTCAGCCACCAGATGCTCCAATTCATGGTGCTCCCAGCTTCTCATCAGCTAGGAGGGCAGTGAGCCTGTTCTGTAACTGGCAGTCCTCGAGGGGCAGGATCAGGCCTCCTGGTGTGAGAAGTCACCTGCTTTAAGAATATGATAAGTAAGGTATTTCTCGATACTAGGATGTGTTAGTGGGAGAAATGACTGCTTTCGGGAAATTAATTTATTTAATTCTGCATTAATTAAGTGTTAAATAAGTTAGGAAAAAATACTGCACAGAAATACAGTTCCTATTTCCATTTACAAGTTTTTCTAGGCTTTGTCTCATGAGAGAAGAGGCTGGCTCCAGCATAAAGATGTTCTCCATGTAGATCGTTCATACTAAATCACTTTCTACATTTGATGGGGAACAAATAAGAAAAAAAAAAAAACCTAAACCATAGAACTTGGTCACCTGTTTTTACTTGCTGACTTGAGAGTTTTTTTCATGTCTTCTGAGGTACTGAGTAGTGCACTCTAGCTCGTCAGCAACACTAAAGAATATGGACACAAGAGGACCTAGCTGTCTTTCTCTTTTAGCTTCTAGAACGTGGAAGGAGTGAACTTGGTGATATGCCTACATACAGTTATCAATGTAAAGCATTTTCTGCAAGTACTGACAGATCTTTTTTGTGCAAAGTGACACAGTGGAATATAATCTTTGACTGGCAACAGCCTCATGTCTTTTAAATTCCTTTCAGGTGAGTTTCTCTTTGATTTAGAACAGCAGACTGATCTACTGCAATTTGTTATTTCAGTGCAAGCTGCCAACGATATGATCCATAGACTCCAAGAGAGGGAGCACGAAGAGAGGAAGGTAAAGGATGGATGGATAGATTTTTATAATGTGACCTAAGTAAGAGTCTTGTGCTTCTACAGCAAGTCTACATGCCTTCAGTATAGGACATATTTTTATATGCTTTATATACTTACAGTAAAACTTCTTTTGGAGTGATTTCTGCATTTATAAAATGCAAACTGTGGTGGCATATATGTTCTAGGACTGCAGAGTTAATGGATCACTAGCTCTTCCTACAATCTCCTGATGTATGGAAACTATTTTTTTTTATTTCCTTTGCTTTATTTTCCTTCCTAGCTCAGACTATAATATTTGTCACATACAAGGAAAGCTTAAATATAAAAAAATAATTAATTTTCTGTGGAACAAAAAACACCTACTAACCTACCAGAATGGAAATGTAAATCTTTCCTAGTTAGCTGAGAACATTGACCATATTATATATATTGCTTGTTGAAAAGGAAGTGTGTTTTTCACTTGTGGATAGGTTATTTAATGAAGGGCTATATTATAGGAACATGCGAATCATTGGAACCTTTTCAGTTGGCTACATTTGAAATACATGTGCTCTGAATCTAAAATTTGGAAAATTATACAAGAAATTAGTTTCATGTTTTCCCATTACTCATTCATGATTGTGTTCCTGTGTTATCTTTTTACTTGCAAAATGTTATTTATAATAATTTAGTTCACAAAAACTGAAGACGTTTCTGTGGCCATCACACAAAACAGGCTGTGCGTTGATTTATGTAAGCTGATAGTCATGGTTTTCTTTCTTTTTTAATTGATGAAGATGGGCAGTCCAGTTGCAGTTGAATACCAGTACTGTGCAAATAGCACACTGCTGGACCCTGACAAAGTTTGCTTTTGTCTAACACTAGTGTAGGTATTGGTGGAGAGCTTAAGTAGGAAATTCTTATAGTTCTGCTGCTGCTTGCTTGAAGTAAAGCTTTAATAAAAAATTTTATAAGTTATAAAATGAACAGTCACTTAATACGAATGGTAGCTGTTCTTTTTTAAAATATTAATTGTGTATTTCCACTCAATTTTTGTTATGTTCAGTGGAGCAATACTAGTAGCTATTCAGGATTTGTAGTGTTTCTTTAAGCTTGTATAGTAAGACTTTTTGGCTCGAAACTTTCCAAATGTGAGTAGTGACAGGTAGGTAACTTTTTAAAATTATAGATAAAAGGTGTCACTGTAGTTCATCTACTTGAGGAGAAATTCTTTTTCCTTATTTTTCTTTCTGAAATCATGATTCTGAAAAAATAATGGGGTTTTGGTAAGATCTAATATCAGGTGATTCATGTTAGTGAAATTCAATTTCTGCTGAATAGAATGAATTTTAAGATTATTTGCTTTACTAAGTATCTTTTTTTGCAGTTCCTTTCAGCTACTGGTATCAGTCAAGTAACAAAAGGGAAATTATGTTGTCCCTACCACATTCTCACTTAGGGTATAAAGTAATTTGTGATTACAGGAGTGTCACTGAAAGAAGCGTTCATGGAATCCCCTGTCTCATTGCGTAGTCTTCCCATCCAGATCAGTAATATTTCGTTAGTAGTTCAAGCTGTGGATTACTCTAAGCTTGTGGGAGAAACTAGTGAAGACTTCAAGAAATTTTGTAAACCTGTTTTTGTGTACTATGTTCTTATTTTTTTCTTTTTATTTTAAATATTTTTATGTAGAAGGGTACAGGCTTATACTGGAAGCTACCTGACACTTCCCGTGATGGTCTTACCTCTTAATTGCTTGTAGCATGAACTAGTATGGTAACATTTCTCAAAGCCTGTGTCTCCCTCAAATGGTGGGTTTTTTGGTTTGGGTTTTTTCGATGTGTTTTTGGTTTTTGGTTGTGTGTTTTAATTTCAGCAAAAATAGACCAAGTAATACTATAAACAAAGTTTGCTGAAAAATTTGATGCTTTTACAAATGTTAATTTTTTGCATAACCAATGACAGTAAAACAAGGATAGCAATAAATACAACTGACTTATATGAGTCAGTACTGTATACAAGAAGGCTTTACTGTCTTTCAAGTTCAAGCCGTATGCACTATTGAGTGAAAAAATGGTTTCATAATCAGATCAGATTTTTTTCCAAATAACTAATGTCTGAACTTAGGTGTTGATATAAAAGAAATATGAAAGACGTCACTGCCAAAATATGTAAATTTGCTAACACACCAAAGGGAATTCCCATAACAGGAATTAATAAGGCAGAAACTATGTTTGTAATTTAGACAAGCTTTGGTTTATATCTGAACCAAATTATGAAACTTTAACTCAAAACTGTTTTCAACTTTTTATATGCACATGAAAGCTGAAAATCTTCCAAGTTTAGCGATGTCTAAATATCTTACAAAAAATTACTCATAAAAGTAGTTGGCATTGTTACAAACATAGAACAGATTCTAAGCTTAGTTTGAGTTTCCCAAACCGTTGTATTTATAAAGTTATACTGAAAGACAGAAATTGAGGACAAGTATTCAGGTTATGTGTGAAAAGTAAAGTTTAACGGCTTGCTATGGCTTATGTTCTGTTGGGCGACTGAAGTAACTTATAGCCGAACAGCTGAAATACTGTTTGGAGAAGAGGAATTGCTGACAGAATGGATAACCAGCAATCAAAAACAGGACAAAGCTGTGTCAGCGTGGTCTGGAGCTGGAAACTTTAGAGGAGGATAGAGCTGGAGTTCTGTGGGTGTTTGGGTGTGAGGAGATGATTCTCTGATTAAACAAACAAACAAATCTATCAAAATTTTGCCAAATTAACAGCCATGGAGAAATACCATTTGTACTGCTTTGTAGATTCTTTTAAGGTGGGGTAAAAATGGTTTTTTCTGTGCCGTAGATGACAGTAAGTGCCAGTCAGAAACACGGATAGTAAAAGCCTAATGTACTGTTGCTGCCAGTTAAACGATCCTTTGGTTCAAATAGAAACCTACAACATGGTGGGAAATGTTGTATTGTCTAATGCTTAAAACATCACAATTTGTAGCTAATTATTAAAACTCTGTTTTCTGGTTCCTGGCTAAATAGTGTACCAATACCATACAATATCATGAATTAGGTAAGGCTTCCTCTTGGCTCAGGTACATCTGTCTGCATGCTTTAGTTCATACAGCAATTTTCCCATTTTACAAAGGTCATGAGGTTTTACACAAGAACAAAATGTGTTGTTCTGAAGCCTGAACGTGGTATCATAGTATTGGCTTCTGTCTTGTTATCGTGCACTGGCATGTTTATACAATTAAATATCAAAGCAATTTCATTGACACTTCTTGACTGGAAGAGAACAGTGGAGCTTTATTTGTTTTCTGAGGTGGCCATGCTGGGCTTATTAGGTGCTGTTTTCTAATTTATAATTAGGTCTGACTTAAGGGGCAGACTTAATCAATCAGTTCGATTTGGTTGGTAGTCTTTTTTTTTTTTTGTAAGTTTAGACTACAGTTATTTTACAGATTTTTGTTTGGTTGGTTTAGCAGTCATTTTAAATGACAAAGGGTAGGAATTAAAATTAGACTATATTTTGAAAAGCTGTTCTATGAAAGTGTACTGATTTTCATGTTTGTATGTGCTGTTCTTTGTGATATTTTGTTAGTTTACAAGTTACAGTTTCTCCAGTTGGCAGCCCTGGAAACAAAAGAATGAAACCTAAAAATCAAGGTGTCTGTTTCTGGGTTTTGAATCGGTACCAGCAATCCAAAATTTGTAATTAGTAGTTTTCAGCAATCTGGGAGTTCTGTTAATCTTATTTCATTTTAAGTGTTTTGCTGACTGTGCATGGGCCAGAATTTATTTCAATTTAGCTTTTACATAGTTGGGTCGGTCTTCCAAAGTTACAAGTTTAAAAGTAATGAAAATTAACGCTGAATTACTATTCTTCCAAATATATATTTTCTTTTTTTAAGAAAGGAGAAAAACTGATTACTTCATCATGCAACTATACCTGCATTTTCAAACATGCAGACATTATTTTCTTCTTTATGACAGTAAAAAAAATATTAGTTTTAACAGATCAGAAGTTATTTATTACTACTGCAAGTGCTTTCTGGGCTTCAGAAAAACCCATTCTTCTGCCTTCCTGAAATACGAACATATATTTATTCAGAATGCATATTATATCTTTGTGTTCTGTGATAGGGTGAAACTGCTTCCTAACTGAGCATCAATATGCGAAGGCAATTTCAAGTTCTTAGAATCATAGGATCGTTTAGGTTGGAAAAGACCTTTAAGATCATTGACTTCAACGGTTAACCTAGCACTGCCAAGTCCACCACTAAACCATGTCCCTAAGCACATCATCTACACCTCTTTTAAATACCTCCAGGGACAGGGACTCAACCACTTCCCTGGGCAGCCTGTGCCAGTGCCTGACTACCCTTTTGGTGAAGAAATTTTTCCTAATATCCGATCTAAACCTCCCTTGGTGCAACTTGAAGCCATTTCCTCTTGTCCTATTGCTTGTTACTTGGGAGAAGAGACCAACCCCCACCTTACTACAACCTCCTTTCAGGTAGTTGTAGAGAGCAATAAGGTCTCCCCTCAGCCTCCTCTTCTCCAGGCTAAACAACGCCAGCTCCCTCAGTTGCCCCTCCTAAGACTTGTGCTCCAGACCCTTCACCAGCTTTGTTTCCCTTCTCTGGACACGCTCCAGCACCTCCATGTCCTTCTTGTAGTGAGGGGCCCAAAACTGAACACAGTACTCGAGGTGCAGCCTCACCAGTGCCGAGTGCAGGTGGACGATCACTTCCCTAGTCCTGCTGGCCACGCTATTCCTGATACAAGCCAGGATGCTGTTGGCTGCCTTGGCCAGCTGGGCACACTGCTGGCTCACATTCAGCCAGCTGTCAACCAACACCCCCAGGTCCTTTTCCTCCAGGCAGCTCCCCAGCCACTCTTCCCCAAGCCTGTAGCGTTGCATGGGGTTGTTGTGACCCAAGGGCAGGACCCAGCACTGAGCCTTGTTGAAGCTCATACAGTTGGCCTTGGCCCATTGATCCAGCCTGTCCAGGTCCCTCTGTAGAGCCTTCCTACCCTCCAGCAGATCAACACTCCCACCCAACTTGGTGTCATCTGCAAACTTAAGTGAGGGTGCACTCGATCCCCTCATCCAGATCATTGATAAAGATATTAAACAGAACTGGGCCCAGTGCTGAGGCCTGGGGAACACCACTTGTGACTGGCCACCAACTGGATTTAACTCCATTCACCACCACTCTTTGGGCCCAGCCATCCAGCCATTTTTTTACCCAGCGAAGAACATGCCCGTCCAAGCCATGAGCAGCCAGTTTCTGCAGGAGAATGCTGTGGGAAATGGTGTCAAAGGCCTTACTAAGGTCCAGGTAGACAACATCCACAGCCTTCCCCTCACCCACTAAGCGGGTCACCTTGTCACAGAAGGAGATCAGGTCAGTCAAGCAGGACCTGCCTTTCATAAACGGATGCTGACTGGGCCTGATCACCTGGTTGTCCGATACGTGCCGTGTGATGGCACTCAAGATGATCTGCTCCATAATATGTCTCTTGATATGTCATATGTCGCCTACAGGGGCTGAGCTACTGAAGGTCTTTGGATTATTGTTTGACTTGGGAGTTAAGATCTTTGACATGTGTCATTGACTTGATGAATTCAGATTTATAAATATATGTATGTATATATAGAAATGACGGTGTTACTCTTTTCAATCTACACAATAACCAAGCAGATAAAGGGTGTCTATTCTTTTGAAACAACTTACTAAAAAAGCATGTAAGAATAATAAACTGTTCTAATATTGAGGACAGTTATTGGCATCAATTATCTAGAACTTAATTATTCAATGTATAAGGAATTGGAAATAGGTCTCCACCATCAGGGTAGATGCCTGGTAGATGCAAAAGGTTTTCAGTTCTCTCTTCTCACTTGCCCAGGAAATACATCAGGTTAGGGAAACTCTAGAGATTGATCCTGGAATATTCTGTAGCTTTTTAATACCAAGACTGTCTTGTGAGTTGGGATATGTGAATTAGATTTTTTTAGGTAAAAAGGTATTTTATCATATATCTCTAACATCTCAAAATGTGGGCTACTCCATATATGGCTGGCTTTTTTACCTTGTATGTACAGATTACAATTTTGGAGGACCAATAATTCGCTACAATATGTTTTTTCTATTAGGAATGAATTTTTTTTAAAACCTAAACCACTGAGACATGGTAACATATTTGAGGTTGCTCAGAATGCTGTTAAACCTTTCCTGAATGCAAAATTTCTGAGAACATGCAAAAGCTGGAGTGTGAATTACTAACAATTATTATATTTGTGATAACTTGTTTTTAACTTGTAAAAGAATTATTGGAGTTTTGTGTATATCAGCATCACTGCGGCGATACAGATCTGTAGAGATCGATTATTCTTCTTACTGTTGTCATACTTGTGTCAGCAAGCTGTAGGAGATACCTAGAGCCTTAACTTTTTGTTTCAATTTTCAGTTCATATTTAGCAAGAGAAGGTACGTATTTCAAAGATTGCTCCTCTTAAATGATGTTCACGTGCTCCTTGCTACTCAGCATGAGTTTAAATGTGCAATGTTAAAGTTGTAAATTGCAATTATATGGAGTTACTTTATTTCCAACATAAATCTTACTCTATAAAATTAGTTATTATTTCAGTAGAATGCTGCTTGTCTTTATATATTTAAAGAATAAGCACTTACAGCAATTGCTTCTCAGTACTCAACTGTTTAAATTTTTATTTAGGCATAGATTAGGCAATGTACATAGCCTGGCTGCTAATATCCCTTTATTTCACAATGTCGCTTCTCTTGTGCCAGAACAAGCTAAAGACTGATTGAGCAAGGGAAGGCAAGAGGTTTTTTAGACCACAGATTTTTGATAAACTAAACTTAGCTATCTCATGTTCTATAAATGTCTTCAGTTGTTTTACCAGGTAAATCATTTTATATCCTTGGGTAGAAATGGTGCAGTGGAAAATGAAAATAGCAAGTAGCAACATGAGTTTCATGTTCCTTGCAAGCTATTCATGTTGTGAGGAGCATGGGTTAGTCTAGCTGAAGTGTGGTTTGGGTAGGTGCTGTGTAATCCTGTCAGTGAGTGTGTGATGCACTGACAGTTTCAAAACCTGTTGAATATGAAGTAGTGTATGGGTCAGACTAGTACTGTACACTAGTCTGTTAGTAGCTGATATTGCATCTGTCACAAACAAAATGAATCTTGGCATAGTGTTGGTACAAGGTATATAACATGCTGCATAGCAAAAATGGTGTATTTAACCCATGATGTGTGATCTTAAAGAACAACACGTAGAGTGAGTGTGTTGCAGAATGCATAAATAGGTTCCCATTGCCTTTAATTGACAAAAATGCCAGATGTCTATTGAAGCTGTATGATAGTATTTATTCCTACACAGAAGTACTGTACATAAAAAATAATCATTGCTAATAGATTGAAAAGGAAAAAGAAGAAAATAAAAGAAGGTTGAATCTTCTTTTTTGCTGAGGGATGGAGCAAATATAACAACAACTGCCTATATTTACTGTGACTTCAGCATTTATAATGTAAGGACGCCAGACTCTTAATACTGCATGCAAGCAATCCGCAGAAGTACATCTCATTTTGACGTGCATATTAGATGTATGTATCTTTTTCTAGATAGCTAGATTTATGGGGGTTTGGTTTGGTTTGGTTTTTTTCAAGATAAGAGAGTGAAAGGAATCAGACTTACAAGAAGCCAAGCAGTGTGAAAGTATAAGAGGAAAAATAATTTATTTATAAAGGAAGACATTAATCACAGTGAGAGCTAGCTGGCTAAAGCAGAAACACAAACTGCCAATTTAAAAACATTGAATATCCATGTTGTTATATACTATTTCACTCTTTGCTCTTTGTGTTTTCATCAAGACTAGTATCTGATGACTATGCTGAACGTAAGCATTGTGGTAAAATAGAAACGTGGTTCGTTTCTAGTTTTAAAAATGTATTCAAGAATGTAAAAAATACTTTTGTTTCAACAAATGAGACATTCAAGGGGAAAGTAGCAAATGTCAAGAAAAGAGGAGCAATATGTTGAAGGATTGGCTGATGTAATTTATGCATGTTTCATTAACCATCATAATTTGTTGTGAAACATAGAAGCGTTCTATTTACACGTATCTGACATAAAACCTCAAATGTTGTCTTGACTGTTGAAGTGTATCCTTTAAGCTCTAGTAATACATATATATCTAAATAATGGACATATGTAATTTTCTAAGATTTATTCTGTCTAGCATTCACAAATATGAAATATAGTGGGCCTAGAATTTTCCTCATACATCAGCTATGGTAATGCTTCCAGAGCATTTTTGGTTTGTATCATGTATAACACAGACCTGCCTGTGCTTGCTCTACTAGATGCAGATTCTCGGTTCTTTAAGACCACTAAATTGAAAATTAGATGCATTTTATTTAAATTATTTCTCTTTTAGGTACGTTCAGAACAGTGGACTCCCTGAGTCTGTTTGTATCTGTAGGCAGCTTCTTTCTGTGTGAAGACGAGAAAAGAAGAAAAAAAGACAAGGGGGAAAAAGAAGCATGTCCATTTCCTAATATTTTTTTTTTCTTCCGTAACTAAGGGGCTGAAAGCACCAAATACCACGTTCCCAAAATCAGAAGTTCATTTTAAAAGAAAATCTTTGTGAGATAATACAGATTTATATCAGCTGCTTACAGTACTTCTAACATTGTCGGTAGTCAGAGGAGCAAATAATGCAACAAGTACAATCTTTAGAAATTGACAGAAGCGAACTAGGCGAACTAGTAACTTTAAAGTGTCTTTCCATTTATTTAATTTTCACCAGACTGTAGCATAGAAAAGCTATTGTTGCTAATGCCATCACGTTAATAGTATCATAGACATTTTACCGTTTGTTTTGGATTGACTATACTTTATAAAAAGAAGTGTTTTCTCTTTAGTTTCACCTTTTCCTATGTTTTCTTGCTAGTTTCACTTTCTTCTACCGAAGTAAAAGCCTAGTTTCTCTGATACTCTTAACATTACGTAGATCTCATTAAACCCTCTGATTTAATCTGGGAATGATTGTTAAGACTTTTAATTTTCCTCCTCTCAGCTTCAGGCGGACAAGCTGATGGCTCGTGAAGAGAAGCGCGTAGCCCACTGGGAGGAATTCATGAAAGAGCAACAAAACAAACGAGCAGAAGTGGATGAAGAGCACAGAAAAGCTATGGAGCGCCTCAAAGAGCAGTATTCTGAGATGGAGAAGGAACTGGCCAAATATGTTTCTTTTTAAGACCTTTCTTTTTTAATAATGCTGGGTTTGTGCCAATACTCGGTTGCTTCTGACTTAAATTGAGAGTCTTTTGGAAAACTGAAACACATAAGAAAAAAGGAGAATGTCCTCTACAGGTTTGGTATGGGAAGAAGGGGTTTGCATACTTTTAACTTAAGTGCCTATCTCTGCTTGTTTTGTTCAGGGCGGGTAGAATGCCAGTATTTCTTCGTTTGTTGGAAGGTGGAACTGGAAATTGCATTGTGTGACAACATCAGCTCAGGGAGTTGCGAACTGAAATTCTCTCCCATCTGCAGAGAGTATCGTATCGTTTGGGAAAACAGAGACTAATGTAATACTAACTATCCCAGTGCGCAGCCACAGCCCTTTCCCAAAAAGTAGGCGTAATAGGTTCCAGCCATAGTTAGCTGAGAACTCACTGGGAAAACCATAAAACCCGTTCATAGATTTCAGGAAAACCAACTTGTTTTACAGAATACTTTACTTTGAAGCTTTAGCAATGAAAGATGTCAACAGAGTTTTAAATCCAGTTGTAACTCCAACTTTTGGGTTGTATGTTCAGTATTACGAAGCAAAGCTGGGATTTAAATGGTTTTGGTAACGTAAAAATGGCTACGTGAGCTTGGACAACAATTTCTTTTCTCTCCCTGTAAAGGTCTCGGGCCTCTCTTTTTAAGCTTTACTGTTCGAAGCAAAGCCAAAACAAGCTCAAAAGTAATCATGAGAAGCATATCGGTCTTTGTATTAGCTTTGTAGCTAAGCACAGTATTTACCTTAAATATTTGACATGCCGTTGGTTTACTTAGGATAAGCTTGTCAGAATTTTATAAATCAATTGAGGAAAGATTTTTCTTTGTTTATCAGCATAACAAATGGCAGATTGGTGGTAAAATGCCTGTAGTACTGATCTGCTTTCTTACTAGCTCTTACTCTTACAGGGTGCATGAAGCTCCTGTATTGCTTTCTTTTATTTAAAACTTGCAGTTAACAGCAGTGTAACTGAAGAAGTTAACTTAATCAGTTCATTAACCAAGCAGAATGAGACATAGTACCTTAATGAAATTTGCTGCAAGCTAACCGTTAGTACAGGAAATATCTTTCCATAATTTAGCTGGTGTCCAATATAGAATGGAAACAGGTAAAAATAAATAGAATTTACCCTTTACCTGTATTGCAATAGTAATATGCCAACAATGGTTGCTTGTGTAAGTTTATGGCTTGGTGTCAAGGCTCCGTTCCTGGCAGCATGTTGATAGTGTGATTAAAGTTAGTAGAGGAGATGGAATAAGTATTTGAGATTTCTTTCAATAACACTGAATTCCTGCCAAGCTGCTCTGCCCGCTACTGTAGGCCCAACAGCTTCATCAATCATCATCGTGTATCTGGACTGAAAAGAGGATTTGCCGACACTGGGGCACGCTGGAATGTTGTTAATTCTCTGTTGCGGATGGAAAAAACATAGATGTCTCAAAAGTATCCCACACATGAAAAATAGGAAAGCCTCTTTTAGAACAACCCCTATTTGAATAGAAGGTGACCTCTGTAATATTTTTCTGCTTATGTACCCATGATGAATGTTGTAACTAAGCTCAGACTTTCATTTAAAAAGATAAAGTTAGTTCCTGCCTGTCTTTAGAATTGGGTGTGGAATAGTTTGATTGTTTTGAGCACAGACTGAAAATGGCTTCTCTCTTACCAGATGATTTGATGTATATGTGCTCAAAGCCCAAATATCTTTATAACAAAATGCATTTAACTGCATACTGAATTCTTTTTTATTTTTGCACTGATAATTTTTATTAAGATTTAAAGATCTAATTAACTGTGCACTGGAGCTGTAGATTTTAGTATTTCGTCAATTTGAGGGCTCTTAAGCAATGATGCAAGTGTTGCAAGTTGGATATTCACTGGAAAATAAAGGCAGTATTTCCAAAATCTTCTGGGATGTGTGCTCCTGATTCTTTGGAAAGCTTCTAAATACTAACACTGAAAATGTGCTCCTCTTTTAGAATGATACAGGTATTTTTATGCTGAAGATCATTTGAAAACACTATTCTTCATAGTCCACATCTGCCTGTTGGCCCACTGATTCATTTTGGGGACTACCTGAAACTGTCCGTTGCTGAATTATTTTATTCAGTAACTTTCACTTTTTTTATATGATAAGCTGTAGGTTTTGAGGTACTTTGAAAATGCTTAATTGTCTTTGAAGAAACTTGCCAACATTTACAGGAGAACCTGGTTTTTCTGTCCAAGTGCTTAAAAAAACCAAACAAACCTGATGTGTCTAATATTATCTCAAAACAGAACACATCTGACGGATAAAAGAGATTCCTATCTTCAGCAGTTTTTTAGCAAGGTGGGACTATGGTCTGTCTGGACGCAATAGTGCTCCACGGTGGGACTTTGTAAGGTTCAAATTCTTGTTTTTCAATAGTCTCTACCGTTTGGGAGAAATAAAAAGCCAAATAGTTTAAAAGTTGGTTTTAAGTCATTGATGCATGAAGGAAATGTTTTACCTTATACTTGCAATATTTACATGACTGAATTTCATAGTTTTAAAAATCTTGGGAATTTATTTAATCCCTGTTCAACTCAATAGAAGTTTGCATTGGATTCCAGTAGGAGCTGGAAAGGGTCCTCAGCACTGAAGTTAACTTCTAGTGTGGCAGGTGAGTTTCGCGATCTGTCTTTGCACCAGACCAGGCATCTATCTTTTTGCTTGACTACTAGCGCTGTTTATTATACTCAGCTGTAGGTTTAACTCTTCTTTGTAACTGGAAGTGGATTTGGGTATCATGTAATCCCTGGAATATTTTCTTAGTCTTTCTATTCTAATGAATACATAGCAAGAAACTGGTGTCTTCCTTGGAACTGCTATATGAAATCTGCTGCTGCTGTATTTCGGAGGAACTGAAGAAATACTGAAGGGTTTGGTTTGTTTTTAACTGCCTTGTTTTAACAGTGAACCTACGTGCCATTCTCCTTGGAATGTGTTCTGTCTAAGGCCTGTCACGTATTTTCAGTCTTAGGGAGGAGCGAGAGACCTGATTTATTGCTCTTACTCTGCTGCTTTCTATGCTGACACTAGGTAATACTTTTTATAGAAAAACTCCGTAATTACAGCTGGAACACTGCATCTTCTCTGATCTTTTAACTTACGGCTTGTTAAATCCTTCCTCAAAAACTGGGGAGTTTTTTTCAGTAGTCAAATTAAATAGCAAATACATGGCATAATCAGCCAATGAATTGAATCGTAGGTAGTTCACTTCTGAGTTGAAAAGCTTCGTGTGTCTCAAGGCTTTGAGATTGTATGTCTCAAAGCTTCCTATGTCTCAAGAGTCTGAGACTTACAAATGTTCCCCAGTAGGTGTCAGTGCAAGCCTGAGAAGGAGCGTCGGAGAGCCTGGCTTTACGTGAGGTCTGGCGTGCAAATGCTTATGTTCAGTTGTAATACAGTACTTTGTGTAAGTACAAGACATTTTGTGGATGAAACCACATGCTTTTAAATAAAAAATGACACTACTTATCAGCAGCATTTTATCCCGTTAGTCCTCAAAAAAGCTTGCAACAGGTCACTCTTAAAATTATTTATGTGGGGTGTGCTGATCTGAACAATGTTGTCCGCAATACTTATGTGTTGTAATTAAGATTTATTATAATTTGAAGTTAAACTCGGTGTCAGAGATGAAAACCCTCAAGAGCCGCATTCTTACACTGCTGTCCAGGTTAGGGGATCAGGTTTTCTGAAGGTTTGAGGCAAAAGTTCATGCTTGTGGATAAACATCGTGCCGTAATAAAAAAACTGGGGACTTCTGCAAAAAATGTGAACAAAATTATCATGCCACACGTTTATAAAGAAGCCAATTATTTTAATTGTTTGTAATTGAATGAACTTTTTAAAGTAGTAAAGATACGGTCCGCTCAGTGCTGTTGCTCTAGCTTATGGTCTGTGTGTCGAGATACAGCAGAATCTGCAGGGAGATGGGACTGCAGCTGTTGTAATAGGATTATAATGAATAACACAACTTTCATAAATAGTTTAGTCCTAAGATTATTCAGAAGTTCCAAATAGCATAGGCATTTAAAAGAGAAGGGAGAAGTAAAAAAGGCTTAAATCTGTTCTGGTGCCTTACGAAAGATTTATTTCAGCCCTTAGAAATACAGTACTTACATATAATGTACCTGCCAGTGCTGAAGAGTGTACAGCATTATGTGCAATACCTTTGTAGTTTTATAGGTGGTAGTTTTATATATAGTAATGAGCAAAGTAGAAACAAATTTATTCAAGACAATGGTGAGCATTAGAAAGGAGAAAGGCTTGCAGAAGTCCTGCTAGGGCTTAAAGCTGGAGCTCTGAAAATCCAGGGCTCAAATTTGTGCTTCCTACCTAGGAATCTAGCAGAGATATCCACCGAGATTTCAGATCGCCTTCTTAAATGCATTATCTGGGCCAAATCAGAACCTGGATGGTTCAGATTATGATTTAACATCATTTTATAGATGGTGAAGAAAAAGCTGACCCTTTCAATATGAACTTTCAAGACAATTGCAGTGAAGGATGGATAATACTGTATTTTAAAACAGTAATTTAAAATAAAACCTTGCATTTCCTCAGTCTTCTCCGCTAACGGCTCACTGGGTGGGTACAAGGAGACCTCCAACTGAGCGTCATTGGTTTTTTAACAGACATTGCATTTAACTTGATGTAGTGGACGTTGGTGAGAACCGAAGCACTGCTTATAGCTTTCGCTTGTTGCTCATTACTAACATTTTGAGATGGACATAATCTATAAATGTATCCAGCATTTCATTACATATGGACCCAATATTCTGTAATCTGGAGAAAAATAACCTTCGTTCTTGCTGCAGCAAAGACCGCAGGACCCAGATAAGCGGTTTTAGTTGTCTTTGAGTTAATTGTAAAATATATTTGCAAGCTTGCTTTGCAAAGCTTGTGGTGTGGTACCTAGCCAGTACCTAGTTGAAGCTGGGATATG